AGGTACTCTCCTTTTTCTCTTAGGTGTCCCGTAAAACACATAATAATCGAAAGAACGCCCAGATAGTTCTCCCAACAAGTCCACTTCACTAACACCTTATTGATGTAGTTGCTTCAAAAGGGTATTGCGCGATACTCCTCTCTTTCTTCTCTATGCTTTCAGATCAATTTCCTCTTCAATATCAATCATACCATCATCGTCTTCTTCATTGTATGCCTCTCTAGATGTTTGGCCTTCTTCACATTCCAACACATGTGCTTTCTCTTCGTTTGGCCTGCTTTTGACAGAATGTAATGTATCGAACTGAATGGTAAGAGGCTGATATGGATCTTCTTCATCCATTTTGCCTCGCTCAAACTTTGATCTTCTAGAAGAACTTTTTGGCAGTCCTTCCATTGATTCACCCGTACCAGTCTCTTCACTATCCTCGAGAACGTTTTGATTGGACACTTCAAGCATTTTAGGCTCTTTAGGACGTGGCAATCCCTGTAGCTGCCTCATTATTCGTCCATAATTTCGTTGGAAACGTCTTTGTTGGGTTCTATGTCATCTCATTGAAGGGTATCACCCTTCCTGCATTATATTGGAATGAATGAAATACATTTGGCTGGCGAGCTTGTGGCCTAAATGTCTTCACATTATTCATTGGTCTGAACTGCCTCTCAAAAGGTGGTTCTCTATAGAATAACGTACCTCACCCTCTAACAGGCTGACCATTTGGGATAAAATCAGGATGATGACGATGTTGGCCTACTCCTAGTTTCTCTGTTTTTGCACTCACTTCACCTTTAAATCTTGCACATAAAGCATCTTCATCCTTTTTAGACTAATTTCCTTTCATACATTCAAAAATGCTGAGATGTGGCCCAGGGTCTTCTTCCCCATCGTCGATAATCAATTTGAATCTTGACAACTTATTTTTGAAACCAGTCATCACCACATTCACCCCAAGTGGCTGTGGGAAAGGATTTTCATCCACTGCCATCTTCTTCTTATCTTTGAACGTAATTCACCCTGATTCGATA